TGCCGTTTGTCTTGCAGACTGTGTCCTTTGCCTTACAGAAGCTTCTCAGTTTCAGGAGGTCCCATTTATCAATTGTTGACCCCAGTGTCTGTGCTACTGGTGTTATGTTCAGGAAGAGGTCTCCTGTACCAATTCGTTCAAGGGTATTTCCCACTTTGTCTTCTAATAGGTTCAGTGTAGCTGGATTTATGTTGAGATCTTTGATCCATTTTGACTTAAGTTTTGTGCAAGGCGATAGGCTTGGGTCTAACTTCAGTCTTCTACATATCTGCAACCAGTTATGCCAGCACCATTTTTTGAAGATCTTGTCTTTGTTCCATCGTATAAATTTGGATTGTTTGTCCAAAATCAGGTGTTCATAGGTGTGTGGGTTAATATCAGGGTTGTCAACTCTATTCCATTGGTCTACCTGTCTAATTTTGTGCTAATACCAAGCTTAATTTTGTGCCAATACCAAGCTGTTTTCAGGACTATAGCTCTGTGATAAAGCTTGAAGTCAGGGATGGTGATGCATCCAGAAGTTAATTTATTGTACAGGGTTGTTTTGGCTATCCTGGGTCTTTTGTTTCTCCATATAAAGTTGAGAATTGTTCTTTCAGGGTCTGTGAAGAATTGTGTAGACATTTTGATGGTGATTGCATTCAAATACAGATATTACCTCAGAGTCAAGTGTTGGAATAAGATACTCCAACTTCCTAGAATTCAATGAAAATGTTGACACAACATACCCAAACTTATGGGACACTTTGAAAGCAGTACTAAGAGGAAAGTTCATAGCTCTAAGTGCTCACATGAAGAAACTATAGAGAATAGCCACACCAGAGATTTGACATCACAGCTGAAAGCTCTAGAACAAATGGAAGCAAATTCACCCCAGAGCAGCAGACTCCAGGAAATAATCAAACTGAGGGCAGAAATCAATAAAGTCGAAACAAAGAAAACAATTCAAAGAATCAATACAACAAAGAGTTGGTTCTTTGAGAAAATCAACAAGACAGACAAACCGTTATCCAAATTAACCAAATGGCAGAGCGAGATCATGCTAACTAACAAAATCAGAAATGAAAAGAGGGACATAACAACTAACATTGAGGAAATCCAGAGAATCTTCAGGTCATACATTGAAAAACTGTACTCCACAAAATTGGAAAATTTAAAGGAAATGGACAATTTTCTGGACAGTTACCACTTACCAAAATTGAATCAAGAACAGATAAGCAACTTAAATATACCTATAACCTCTAAGGAAATAGAAGCAGTCATCAAAAGTCTCCTAACCAAAAAAAAAGCCAGGGGCCAGATGGATTCACTGCAGAATTCTACCAGAAATTCAAAGAAGTGCTAATACCAATACTCCTCAAATTGTTCCACAAAATATAAGTAAAAGGGACATTACCAAACTCTTTTTAGGAGGTAACAATAACCTTGATACCCAAGCCACACAAAGACACACTAAGAAAGAGAACTACAGACCAATATCCCTCATGAACATTGATCCAAAAATTCTTAATAAAATATTGGCAAATCAAATCCAAGAACACATCAGAGAAATCATCCATCCCGATCAAGTAGGCTTCATCCCAGGGATG